TCCCATTTCACAGCTGAGAAAGGAGGGATCAAGGCATTTCTGTGAACTTGCATGGCTCGTGTGAGGAGCAGAGAGGGTCCAACCTTGGGACCCCCCCACAACTGCTGCACCTCCGCCAGGGTGACTGCCACATGGTGTAAGGTGGAATGCTGATGGAACAACACAGCATACCCAGCATTCAGGCTTGGGTGAGAATAAGGTCAGCCCTCAGAATCAGAGGTTAGTTACAGACCATAGCCAACAGGCCAAAGCCTGAATTGGATTCGTTTGGGTCTCAAGTGCTTTGCAATTTTTAATTAGTTGTCAACATTTTAAATCTGAACTGGCAGTTTACAAGACATGGCAGCCCTGGGTATGGCAGCCCTGGCTGGAGTGGGTAAGGGCTGCCCCTGTTCTCTTCAGTTCCCTGCAGGCCCACCATACCCTACTGCCCAGCTCTCGGCCTTGCTCTGCTCCTCCCCATTATTTGCCTGGCCTCATGGGCATTCAGGTTTGTTGTCTCTGTCTTAGATGGTGCCAAATCCACGGACTTTATTTTATCTTGCCTTGAGTTGATTTTATAGATGCTCTGATTTGTCTTATTTATTTTTTCCAAGATTTCTTCTGAGGTCAACTCTGACACTCTGAATCTAGTTGGCACAAAAGAGAAGTAAAGTTTGTCATTCACTTTAATTCTCTCTGACAGCCAGCCAGCTGATCCAGCCATCAGTCTGAATCTGGGGGCCACGTGCCAGAGAGTGACTGCAGGAGTTAGTGGTGATAATAATCTCTCTGCAGATGGCTTGGCCACTGGAACAGAGAAAGTTCCACCTCTATATTAAACTTAAGGCAACTGTATTGAGTGCAACGCTACATCCCTGAAGACCTCACATAAATCTGAGCTTGCATAATTCATGACCAACCCAGACTGAAGATGATGGACGTTTTTTTTGACAACTAAAGTGGCCCAGCTATATGGCAATAGCTTTGAGAGAGCATACAACTTATATGGCTCACCACAATACCATTTTTGATCAGTCACAGGATAAAATGGCCATAAATCTGATTTTGAAACCCAGAAATATTCATTTTCTGGCTGTGAGATGCTGAGCAAATACTGAAAGAATTCTGACCTCAGTTTCTTCATCTGACCCACCTCAATTTTGTGAAGAACTCAGTAGGGGCTTGGCACATTGGAGGTGCTCAAAAAATAGAGTTCTCTGCCACTGCCTATGGGCTGGGTAAGGATCCTATCCTGGAACTCTCCAAGTGATAGAAGTTCCCTGAGTAGCCGTGACTATAGACATGACTGGGGGCATCACGGAAGGAGATGGAGGTTCTCCAGGTCTCAGGACTCACAGAGCCTTCAGTATCCCTGTCATGCTTGCTTCCAGAGGAATAATTGTGTCTACTGTGTGTCCAATAGACCACAAATGATGACCAGATCTCCTATGGCCTCTTAGATCACAACATTTAGGATCAAGCAAAGCCCATTGGTGACTTTCTCTGATGATCTGATGCCTACCGTAGCCCTTTCGGTTGGGTATCTAAATCTTCCAAGATGAGCTGCCTGCCTCCACTGGGCCGGGCTCGTGAGAGCGGCAGGATGCAGCATCAGTGTGGCATGTCCGGGCTCTGAGAAGGAAGAGCATGACAGTCCTGTGTCTGCTGAACAGTAAGAGCTGCACACCCAGCCAAAGATGTGGTCCATAGCTCCTAAACACAGGAGGAACCAGCCCAGAGCAGTGAGCAACCTCCCGGGACAGAGTTTGATGTTCAAGAGCATCAGGCTTCAGATCAAGTCCAAAACCACTTGGCAGCCAATTTGTCCAAACCTTTCTCTCATCCAATGTCAAGAACCAGTTCACCTTGGGAACAACTCATACCCCTCAACCAATACACACTCATCTCCCATCTCAGTCCAGAGGTAGGGAAAAGTCTTTTATGGTTCAGTGTCACAGAGAAAATTGTGACAGGGTAACAGAGGCTGCACATGAGCCCTCCTCACCCCTAGCAGGATGGCATTGGCTGACTCTGAATAACCCCTCCATGCTCCAAGACTATGAAAGACTGGAGGGACTGTCCACCTCAGAGGGCAGGAAACAGGAAGGCAAAAACAGAGGTGATGTCCTATTGACCCTCCTCTAATCTGAGGTTCCCCAAACCCTTTTAAGCCTCTGCTTCCTCATCTGAAAAATGGAAACAGTAATGCCCAAGTCACAAGGTAATTATGAAGACCAAATGAGTCCATGAATTCCAAAATTCTCTGTCAACTCAAAAGCAGCATGAACATGAAGTGCTAAATGTGATGATCATTACTCACCTGCTCCTCCATCAGGGCCCACTCAGTGGTCCTTAGCTATTCCAGTTTGGGTAGACACAGGAATAGGCATTCAATAAACACTTATCAGTTGACTCACAGATTGATTTCAGGGCTGCTCTTGGTCAAATTCCTTACCTGCCATCTACCTACTCATGACCCAAACAGTAGGACAGTGGTGACCAGAAGCACTGACAAGGGTCACACCATACCGTGAAGTCAGGATAGGGAGGCGGACTTGGATCTCACCTCGAGTGGAAGAGCTCAGGGGTGCCCTGGAAAGGGGTCAGACATGTCACGGCTTACTGGTGATACATGGTGCATCCACCTCATCTCTTCATGGAGCTCAGTCATATAGCTTTTATGCCTGCCCTGTAGTCTCTTTAATCTCTCATAAACTGTGTAGCCTCTGTTCGTGTTTCTTACCTGCTCTTGCGGAGATACAGGCTCAAGGGTTTATTGAAAGGTTCTCATCTTTCAAACAAAGTCATCCGTTGGTCAAAAATAATTTGCATTCACCAGTGGATTCACCCAAGCAGTGTGACAGCACCTATTCCTCAGAGCCCTGAAGGCCACAGGTTAGGAACCACTGGTCACCTTCACATTTGTCTTATAATAACTGTCTCTCAGCAACTCTAAACTATCTGGCACCAAACACCACAATTCCCAAAGAGAAACCATAGATTGGAAGGTGAAAATGGAGTTGAGTTTACAAAAACAAGGAAGGTTAAGAATAAAGGGCCCACCAGAGGAGGAACAAAGGGCATGAGAAATGTGCTCTTGGAGGAGAAAATGGGTGAGGATAAAAATACAAGTATTGAGTGTTGGAGATGCAGGGCCCCTTGCAGAAGCCCTGGTCCCTCACCTCCTCTGTAGCCTGGGAAGGTGCAGATGGCAAGACAAGCAGATGGGCAGGTTCAGGAATAGCAGGGTAAGGGAAGGGAGGGGCAGAAATCAAAGCAAACCAATATAAGTGGCAGGTTTGTTCGCACATGCTTAGAGAGACAGAAAAGACAGCCAAGCCCAGCATAACATGACAGCCTGGCAGAATGATTATTCCCAGAAGCTGGGACACTAAAATACTTCAGCCAGTTTTCTGCCTTAAACTCTCCAAGGGAAATACTGCTAACAAAGGCTGCCCATGATACATCTCCACATGATGCAAAAATTTCTATTCCCTTTTCTTTGGGTAAGACAGACTGTCATGACCTTTGTCTCCACGGCATTGGGGCTGGGCTCACCAGCTGGAGGCTTCCACACTTCCACACTTATTTTCTCACCTCACACGCATGCATGTAAACACGTGACCATACACATACATACAAACATGCACACATGAACACACACACGTTCACAGCAACAACGCAGCCATCTGGACAGCCATGCTCTCCTACAACACCTTTTTTTCTCCTCAGTTCTGACAGCTTAAACCCAAGAATCATCTGCCACCAAAGATGCCTGGTATTAAAAGAGGCAGAATGAGCCCAGGGCTGGGGAGGTGAGGAGCAGCAAGGGATGGTGTAGGAAAGAGGAGGTCAAAAAGGGGAGTTCCATGGAGGGAGACAGAGCAAAGAGAGATGCCTGACTCATGCTGTTTCACTAAGGAGTTGTCCTTGCATTTGTTTATTGAAGAAAATTTATAATTCTAAATCAGACCATGGTACATTCCTATGACCCCCCTTGTCTATAGACATGATGCTCACTTCCTCTCTGAAGCCTGTACCCTCACCCCAGCAGACACATTGTTCATTTCTCTCTAACTCTCTTGGTATTTACTGCACATGTACCATATACAATGCTTAGGATTTACCACACTTCAGCTTTGCATTTATGTCCTATAAATTCTTCAGTTAGTGAGTTTTGTGGGAGGAACAATGGTGTCCAAGTATTATTGTATCCCTTACAGTGTCTAATCTACAGCTTGGCACACAGTGGGTGCTAAATAACTGTCTCTCAATAATGAGTAAATAAATAAATGTACGAATGAGTGAGGGCATGAATGGACTGGTTAAATGGATATAAAAGATGAATTGTTGCAAGAGATGTGAAAAGTAATAATGAGAAAAGGTCAGAAGAGTAAGAGATACAAAAATAAAGAGAAGAAATGTATTGTGAGCTTTGCAAACCACACGGAGGTACCAGCTATCAGGAGTTCTCTACTGGCAACTATCTGAGGTCTCTATACCAGTGTAGCATTCATCTGAGCAAGCTATAAATAAGGTGCTCTTGAATTTCATGGGTTTAATTGAAAAATAACCGACGAAGGCAATAGTGACTTTATCACATGATTTCTGGGAAGTTTCTTTCTTTCGGTTTTCTAATAAAGTGGCACTGGTGTTCTCAAGACTGAGCAGTGCTTCTACCCACCCACCCATCCATCTGTCCATCCATCATTCCAAGGGCATTTGTTGAGCCTGGCTAGACACAGAGCACTGGGTTCCACTCTGGCTTGGATACATATCTTTGCTTTTGTGCTGGGTGCAACAATATTCCTTAGAATCTGGCTCACATTCAAAGGTGAAACACCACACCTGTTTCCCCTATGGCGACTAATGCCCATCACCTGACAGTGTCACTTAGAGGAGGAGGCCTGAGGGACAGCCCAGAAGAACAGGTGATGCTGCTGCTTTGTCCCTCACAGAGATAGAGAGAGAGCCTGCCACGCACCAGAAGAAAGGCACACAGACATCCCTGTACTTACCAGCTTGGTTTGTGGTGATGTTGACGGAGACATGCTGTGGGGGAAAGGGACTCTTGCTGGAGACCCCATTGACGGCCTGGATGTCAAAGGTATAGGGGGTGTGGGCCCACAGGCTGCTGATGGACACACGGCATTCGGTCAGGCCCAGCTGCCTCGGCACAAACTCCACATTGTCGTCGCAGCGGGAGCAGCTCCGGCGGTCGGCCCGGCACTTCTTACAGATGATGTTGTAGGTCACGTCATCCCTCCCGCCTGTCTCCCTCGGAGGGTGCCACTCCAGAACGATGGATGTCTCATTGACGATGGAGATGACATTTCGGGGACCTGATGGGACACCTGTAGGGAGACAAAGTAGAGCCCGGTGAGGCTGGGGAGAAGTCTCCCCGTCCAGCATCTCCGTCTGCCCTTGGTGTGTTCCGTCCTCATCATATGTGTGTGCCCCTCTTCCCACTCTTAGCCCCAAATCTCAGAACAGTCTGAGGAAAAAATGGTGGATGGAGATGACAACCTGTCCCAAAGTCCCCTTTCAGTCACCCCCACAGGGGTAGCCCTTCCTTCAATCATGAGTGCCAAAGGAGGGGAGGGCACCACAACCCCCTTTCAAGACCTTTCAGTCTCAACACCAAGCTGCATCCTCCGGCCACCTTTAGTATATAACATGTATGTATATTAGAGACAAACTGGATTTCTTGTGTTCTCTTAATTGGCATTAGAACTCAACGGTTGAGAGATATGAGTGGCACATCAAAAGCCCCAACATATTCTGGCATCTGGCACAAAATCACACACAATTTAGGATCTATGTGATGTGGGGGGGGGGCGGAGTGGGGGGAGTTTCTCTGTAGGTCAGATTGCCAGAACACCTGGATAAATACACACATTACACAGGCTTTGGTGCATTAAGACAAGAAGCAAAGTTGGGTGGGAGGTTCATGCAGCTGCCATTTTGATGCCATGACATAAGAAGAGTACAGAGGTTTGTTTAGACATTCTGCTGGCTGGTTTACATGTATTTAATCCCCTCTAAGAATACTAGTGTAAAGACATAATAATTCAATTTTATAGAAAGGGAAACTAGAGCTAAGAATAGGGACTGGCTATAGATGATGTGCTCTATGAGAACTGAAGCCAGCATGGACACCCATATCTGCCTGGTTCTAAGGCTTATGTTCTTAACTATAGCCCTGTGCCATCTGCTAGTGAAACCAGGAAACTGCTAGGAAGAAAAAAGCTGTCTCCAGCCTTGGCCTTACACCAATGTAGTATTCCAAAGGTTGGTGTAGGATCTGTTAATGGACAACAGGAGATTTGAACAGACTCTCTCCTATAAACCAGCCAGGCTCACTGGGCTCAACAAGGGCAGTCTCTTCCCTCTTGACAGCTCTGTCTGTGGCTCCTGTTCACACTCTAGCAAAGGTTGAAATGCCTGTTGCAAAATTCTAGAAAGCCTGTTCCTTCATAGGAAGGCAAAATATTGCTGAATTAATAGCCACAGTGCAGGGAAATTTGAGATTAAGTTCGGAGAATCTTTTGCCCAAGAACAGAAGAGATCACAGCCTCAGTTTCCCAAACTGAGCTTTGCATATCTTCAGTGTCTAACTGATGGAAATGAATCCTGTCTGGAAGCTCCCCCCAACTTCCAAACAGTGGCTCTGCTGGAGCAGCCGCTCCTGCTAGTAATGCATTCAGAATTTACGCACGTGACTGTCGCCAGCTGAACGAAGACATGTGTAAAGTGGTTCATGCTGAAGACAGGAATCAAATGCCAACAAACAAAATGAGGGAATAACAACAAGGTCGGGGGGCACCAGGGAAGGATTCTGTGTTGAATCAGTCAACAGCAAGCAGCTAGAGTAGAAAGCAAATATTAAATCCGATTCTATTAAAACATGAAAGAAAATCAGTACTGTACTATATAAAGCCCATTAAGTCTGAGATACACATGCACGCCTTTGACAGGGCAGGATTCATGAAGCATTTTCACTAAAGTCTTGCAAAGAGTGTTTCAGAATTCCCTACCCACCTGCCCAGGGAAAAACATCCATCTCTTTTTGGATCAGCACACAGCTGGTACTGGGTGGGCAGCTGGCATGCCCTAGGTGGGCTCTCCGTGGGCCAAGACAGCCTCACCTCAAGCTGCACTATTCATTACCATGCATACTGGCCACTGCCGGTTTTGAACATGCCTGTTTGCTCAGATGGATGAGACTGAGACTATAAGCTCCCAGTGGCCAGTACCATTGCTTGCCTGTCTCACTGTCAGAGCAGACAGCCTAGCCTCAGCCACAGGCCACTGTTTCTCATACTCATTATCAAACTGTTCAGTGAGTGCTTGCTCCATGCTAGGCGGGGGGTAAATCCTTTAACAGTGTTGTTTTATTACATCCTTGCGATGTCCTGAGGCTTGGGCAGAAGGGTAGAGACAAACACTGTCTGCAAGAGTGACCATCCATCCTCCCACCTTCTGAAGACCTCCCCCACTTCAATGATCTCCTCTCTTCCTTGACCTTCAACTTCACCCTCTCCCCTGACTCCAGCTTCTCCATCTAACCTTGCATAAGTCTTTGCCACTTTAAAACTGAAACACTGTCATCTGGCATCTTTCTACCTCACACATCCTCTCCTCTTCACTCTCCAGCCCAGCTTTTCTAAAGCAGAGTCACACGTGCTGGCTCTGCCCTCTCCCTGCTCGGCCCACTGAGCGTGGTCACTTCCCCACTCCTCTGCCATGCCTGCTTTTCCTTTCGCCTCCTATCTGACAGATCCAGGGAACACAGTTGGGTCCTTACCTTCCTTGACACACTGTGTTGTTGCCAGCCAGACCCTGAAGTCCCATCTTCTGGGTCCCCCAACACACAGATCATGACTCCAGTCTGTCTATTCCATCTCTTTTTCCCTAGACCTTTCCCTTCCTCTATGTCCCCACCACCTCAGAATCTGGATCTTGTCAGTTTTCTCACCCTACTGCAAAAATCTCCTAATGAATCTGCCAGCACTGCTCTGCATCCCTCCCATCCATCTCTTCTGCCAGAGTGTGAGTTCCAGAAGGTACACGGGATGGGTGTTTCTCTGCTCAAGCTCCAGTTACCCAAAAGCTTACTGTCCTTTCCACGTCCTTCAAGTACCCATGTAATCCTGCTGAGCTTGATCTCATCTCCAACCACCTGACCTTCATATGTGGCCCTGCATATTTTGGCCAATAGGATAATTCCTGCTGTTTCCTGTGCACACTAAGCTCTCTTCATACCCTTAACCTCTACACAGACTTCTCTCCTCTGTCTGGAATTCTTCTCTTTATCTACTTGCTGAACTCCTGGTCACCCTTCAAGATCCAGCGCCACACGCAGCCCACCTATGGCTTCTATAGCCCATTTCTAGGTGCCTAACCCAGATTCCACCATTGCATGGTCTCGTCCTCTGTGGCATCCTCACCATATTGAGGTCTCCCAGTGGCGAGGCTGATGGCAGCTTGTCTCTGTGATTCCCACGGCCAGCACCTTGCCTGGGGGAGGACCCTTCCACTTGGTTTTGATCTCCACTCAGTGTGCACGCCTAACGACACATGTGTGCAGCCCTCTCCAGCCCGAGCCTGAGGAGCCTTGCAGTGGGGCTGGAGGGTACAACAGTGGCAGCAGTGGGGACCCTCTGCTTCTGTCGCTGAGAGGCCAAGGCTTTGGTGGCAAGTGAGGAGCCGATTTGGAGAGGCCTGTCCTCTCCCTGATCCAGTGGTGTCCATGGCAGCTGGGGAGCACCCCCATTCCCCCTGGTGATGTTACTCCATGTCTATTCATTTGATCCCCACTCAGGAAGAAAAGCGGTGGGTTTCCAGGAACATTTTTCTTATTTATTCAGAAACAGCCCACATAGGAAACAATGGCTGCCCCCTTTCTCATCCCCAGCTGCACTGCAGAGCAAGTGTACCTGTGAGGCATGGACAGGGTCATGGTTTTTGAGTCCAGGACTGAATTCACTGGAATCCTTTCCTTCCAAGGAGTGGGAACAGGCACAGCGACCTTCCTCTAGAGCGTGGACTCGGAGAGCGAGGAGAACCTCAACTCGTGGGTCCTTCCTGCCAGCGTCCTCACAGGGCGGCTGTGTCTTGTTATCTCGGAGCTCAGCACAGTGCCTGGGCTCACAGTGCAAGCGTGGAGCTGGAGGTGGCCCAAATCTGGCTACAGACAATGCTGGGATCCCACACTTACTCATTCGGCCCTTTCACAAATACTTCCTGCACTGTTTTTAGGAGAGAGCCAGACAGACATGGCTCTGCTTCCATGGAGCTTACATTCTGGTGAGGGAAAACTGATAGAAAGAAGGAAACATGAAGACAAGTGAGATGATTTCACTTAAGAAAATGTGCTGTGAAATAAAACAGCCCCCAGGAATGCTGCCTCACCATGCTTAGCTTAACTGCTGCTCCTTCATCTACGAGGCCTGCTCCAGGGTGGTGAGCCAGGGCCCAGCATCTGGGCGGCTAAAACAACGATGGTCCTAGGTCTGTGCTGGTCAACCTGATGGTAAGGGCACATTCCTGCAGGGAAGCAGCTCAGCCTCTCCCATGCTTGAACAAAGAGTCTGACCAGGGCAGGTCTGGTCTCTGAATAAATCTCCCTGGAGGAAGGTGCTCGGGCCAGTTTGCTACTCCTGCAGACTGCACTGCCTGAGTTTGGGGCCCCACCCCTGCAGGGATTATCTGTCCAGGACTAGGGGAGGCCAGCTGGAACGACCAAACAAAAATGTGAAAAAGCAGAGTGGAGACCAGAGCAAGAAGCAGACCTGCTGCTCCTGCCAGCAAAAGTCCTAGACCTCCTTGCCCAAGCTCTCTGGAGTCATCGTCTTTCTTAATTACCTACAGACAGGTTTTTTGAAGCCTCCCTGATCTGTTGCCACGGTTACTACTGATGAAAGCTTCCCAAGGAAAGCCCTGTGCAAAGTCAGTCCTGTTACAGGATGAGAAAACCACTGAGCTAAGAGTCTGTTTGGACGAGAGGGGCATGTAGGTCCTGGCTTAGCTGACGGGGCTCTGTGTCTTCCAGAATGTGTCTGAGAGTTAGCCCGGCCTGCCTGGAGCATAGCTGGCACCAGGACCTTAAAGAACTAAACAGACCTTTCGAGAGCCATGGGATTGCCCTATTGAGCTCCAGGGGTTACCCTGTAGAGATAAAATCTCCCACTTCTTAATGTGATTTAGGCCAGACATTTCTTTTTAAAGAAGGAAGACAGGGTGGGTGGGAGAGAGTGGGTAAGATTATTTGTAGGTGTTAGGCAGGAAGTGAGAGCATGCCCATGTAAGCAAAGGGAAAATCCACTGAGGACGAGCCCCAAAAGCCAATTCC